AATGACCCGCTAGCGGAGGGTGATTACTTCACAGCCTACTTCCACACATCCTTATTTAAAACAAATCTACAAAATATAAAATTTAATCCCTAGAAACATTTCTAGAGATTAAATTCGCCTCTAGAAATTTCTAGACATTTCTAGAGGCGACGACACATTCGCGCTTTTAGATACATTTTTACCCAGAATGCAAATACAAAAAACCGTGAGTGAAACGGTGACTGGGACTGACTAGTATATATTCCATTGAGGGAAAATTAGTTTCACATCTGCTCAAGAGACCCCTGGTGGTTGAAGAAAAATCCACATATAAACCAGAAAATACAATATATGGAAAAAAAAAAACACTGAATGCTCTCTGGTATGAGGAGGCAGGCCAGATCCGGCATTGTTCAGGGGGCCGGACCAAATGACGTAGCGGGCCGGATCCGGCCCGCGGGCCGTAGCTTGGGGACCCCTGCTCTAAATAAAATTGTTCTTCAAAAAAACCATATAGAAGGTAGCAAAGTGAAAAGAATCAACTCTTCTAAGCAGAACAATCAGGGATTTTTTTTTTTTAATCGCTCATTAGATGGACGATCTTTAGCCTCATAACCACTTCCAGTTGGGTTGCAGAACGTCTCTGCTGCCATGGCGATTTCACACTTATATAACAATGCCTTTAGCTGAGTTCACAAACATGAGTTCTCGCACAAGAGCCCATAAAGTAGATGGGGGGTTATAGCAATGCAGTAAAGCTGAAGCCAGCTCCACAGAGGAATCCTGCAGACAGAACGGGGCGAGCTCAGCTGTGACGTAAACAGGCCATTGATTATGGGTGCTGATGCACCATTTGCACTGCTAAATTTAGAAGGAGAGGGTTCCCTTCTGCTGTAGCAGGGCTCGCCTACCGCTCTGCATTCTGCTGCAGAGCAGCACACTGAGGCAACGTAGGCCAGAGCAATGTGTCAGCTGCTCAACTGGACTTCACAACAGGAATATATGTCAGCTGGGCATCATCTTTAATATTAAAAACTAAATGCATGCATTCATTGATGGATTCACTCAAATACATAATGTCTCCAAGCTATGATACAGCTGAGGGAATGATGCAAAGTCAACATGATGCAGTCAGCTGGGTTTCCTGAGAAAGCTTTTTACTTTTTCAGGAAGTAAAAAGCTTCCTGAGAAGCTTTTTACTTGCTGCATTCCCATGCTGCATTGTCCCAAGATGCATGGGACAATGCTGCTTGATTGTCCCATATTCTAATACAGAATATAAGGGTGGGAATTTATCATATTGCATATCATTTATTGTGATAAATTTGTTATGTGTTTTTAGTCATTAAACTGTCAAAGGGCAGCAAAGTGAGTGACGCATTGAATGTAAAAAAAAAAAAAGAAAAGAAAAAATTAAAAAGGGTGGAATGGTCAGTCCTCATTTCCAGTTGATATCAAAGTCTATGTAAGTAAGATTGCAGTGGGTTCCAGATCCCCCAGAATTTGTCTGACATTTGATGAAGATCGTGAGTCAGTTTTTCAACTGGGATAAAATCTGAGATTTGTGATATCCACGTATCAACTATAGCGGCCTGTGGTACTGACCATCTCAGTAGTAAACATTTCTTGGACAGAAATAAGAGAATTACAAGAAAAAATTTAGTATCTGCATTAAGTAGAATGTCTGGAGCAGGATTAAAAAGAAAGAAGGAGGGGATCAGTAGGAACTGCTTACCAACGATCTCTTGTATCATCATCAGATGAACCAATTAAATGTGCCCCTATGTATTTTGCATTTATGGCAAAGCTCTGAATCATCAGGGAACATCCTCTGAAGGATAACAGGTCTATCATAAGTTTGGTAGAAGAATTTAAAGTTCTGCTCATGTATAGAAATCAAAGTGCATTTTGGGAAGACTGTGTTTCTTAACACCACAATTGCAAAATTGTGTTTTTCGACATTAGTGGAATATCAACAAAGTTTTACGCACATTTATAATGGAAACACTGCGAATAACGTCAAGCTAAATGCTAAATGAGACGAATGCCTTGATACCCTGCTTTCCATTCGGTGTGCTCACAGCGGATTGCTGTTTGGCTGTGATTTAGGCTGTTCTGTTCCTGAAGCTGCACAGACAGCAGCGCAGCTACTTGAACCTAAAACAGGACAATTAGTTCCATCCACCTCCACAAACATGGCTCTGCTGTGTTCTGTCAGCGTGACACAATCAGTATAATTCATGCAGAGGCAACAGAACCGCTGGAACAGAATGGATGTTTAGAGAGCAGCTACCAGGAGGGACTCATAATATCCTCTGGCAGACCGTAGAGGTCAGCGGGCCGCCGCCGCCCCCCAAAAACAATGGCGCACCTTAGCTATGCTCAGTAGTGACTCAGTTCATGTTAATGCCTCAGTCCTGCAGTCCGTCACTCTACGAGCTGAGAGGCCAACACCTGGTGAGTTCCACAGCAACACTCAGCATGGGACACTGGTGAACAACTTCTGCTTCTCAAGCTGCCCAAGAGCAAATGTTGCTTCTCCTGCACTGTCAATTTCAAAGTGCCATTCCAATAATATCCAATAAAAATTCAAAGAGGTTTGTTGACAAGACAGTGGAGCAATTAAAAGAATTCTAAGCACTTAATATCCTGAAGATATGCTGAGAAAACAACCTGGGATCAGAACAGAGTGATCTTTAACTTTGTTGGCCTGACCGATAACCAGTTAGTCAAAAACTAAAAATTGCATCTTTTACTACATAGCTACATGAGAACCTCGCACTCTTCAATGGGACATTGTTACTGAATGAAAAACACTTGGTAACATCGTTATTGGTCCCCACACTCACAATTCTTTCAACTGAACAGTGAGATGGTTTTACACCCCAACGTTACGTAGACATCAACCTAGTTGTACTGCTGTAACCGATCTGAAAACCCAACTGTAGTAGCCACCAAGACAGAACGGATTTAGACCAAATATCGCAGAATTAAACACGTTTTCATGAAAATATCACAATTTAAACAGAAAAATAATGATAGCAACCTTAAGACAAATCTGGACAGTTTATCTGCAACAAAAGTTGATTTGGTGTTTAGTTGCTCTTCAGTTAGCTATTTGCAGTAACAGTGAGGTGTCTAAAGGGACAAAGAAGCTATTTAAAAGGAAATAGTATTTTCTCTGACATTTCTACCATCATTTGCTGACAATAACAAAGCTCAAAGGATTACAGCAAAGTTACTCTTTATTTTTATCCTCTGTTTGGTATGGATCACGCTGGATTTGGAATTGCTCAGAGTAAAGACAAGGGACACATTAGCAAATTAGAAGTCATTGAGGTCAATGATTAAATTTCAGTAAGGTGCAGCCCAATTATAAATAAAAAAAAAATCATATGAACAGATTTTGAAAAGAAGACTTGTCTTTGAGAAGCAGAGATTTTTGATCCCACACAGCCTGGACCTACAGAGATTTGTAGCATTTGACAACTTTTGGTTTATGAAGATTTGAGTACCTGCGACAGACTGGCGACCTGTCCAGGGTGACCCCGCCTCTCGCCCGGAACATTAGCTGGAGACAGGCACCAGCAACCCTCCCGACCCACTAGGGACAAGGGTGTATAGAAAATGGATGGATGGATGGATGGATGGATGGATGGATGGATGGATGGATGGATGGATGGATGGATGGATGGAAGATTTGAGTACTTCATAAACTTAATTCATATAAATCTAATTCAAGTACTTGTTACCAACTGAAGTAATTTATTTAAGTTGGATCAATTATTCTCTTTTTTCAGTGTTAACTTAATTTTAACTTCTGAAAAAAGGGAATCAAGAAATATACAGGTAGAGTTTGGTCTCTCCTAATTACAGTATATATATAAAAAAAATTATCACTGCTTTCATTACATCTTGAAAGTGATAACAGAAATTCATCATTGGTTTCTTGATTTCTGAGGAGCGATGTGACAACTAATCACAGCAGTAATGCAGCACAGCATGAGCAGCTGCCTGTCACCTCTGACCTCTGTCCTACCTAACACTGTGTACACTCTGTCCGTATCCCTGCTTCATCCAGTCACATTGTCCTTCCATGACACAAAATTGATCTCTTCCTGTTTTTATTACACAAGAGTCAAGACTAATCAGCAGCTCAGTTTACATAAGCTGTGTTTGGGATGATAAGTGTGTCATATAATATATTTAAAACCACTGGGCTTAGCAAGTTTTCTAGGGGAAACCCCAAGAAACGATCCCAGTATCTGAGTAGAAGGAGAAAATAAAACAAAAATAATCTGACTGAATGCTGATTTGTGGCCGTGTGCATTTCCTGGCACATGTTCACTTACTGACATTACAACTCTCCACAAGCTTCATTTGTGGATCCCACAGGGTAAAACTAAAACACTACTGACTCAATAAGGTCACACCAGGCCTACAAATGGATCACTTCCTCCATGTCCTCTCATTTACAAAGTCAAGTTGTCAATGACATAATATGGTGCTTTCAGGACAAGCTAGAGCTCAGCAGGCTCAAACAGAATGTGAGTGTATCATCTGTTACTGTTGGTGCTTTGTGCTAGCTTTCACATTATCATCACAGATTTTAAAACACTAACACACTTCCCTGATAAAGAAATTACTGAGCATATGATTTGTCAATGGATCGCATCAAACCTCCAGTAGCACACAGAGACTAAAACCACTTTTAAACCGCCAGAGGGAGCTAGCTTGCAGATGCTAACCACAAGCTAGTCATTGTGAATATGACCCCACAAGCTAAGAAATTGGGGTTAACCAGTTATTTCATATTAGCTACTTTATATTCTGTGGCCATATTCAGATGTACAATACACTCATGAAAGTACTCCAAAAAATGACAGAAACTATTCCTGTTTAAAAAGATTTGGCTTAAAGTGAAAGCTGATTATTTCACGCCTGCAGCCTCTGTATTGTGTTTTAACTAGCAAAAACAGATGAAATGCTGAAGAAATGTGACGTATTGCGTTACATATTATATAATATTTAGTCAAAATATTTGTCTAACACTAACAAAACATTTAGTCACACACTTCTCCTTTCCAACAATATGTGACAGCTGCGGCTGAAGCATTTGAGGTTCTAAAAGTCTTGTTGCTGGTTCCTTCCACAGACTTTAATCTTTTATATGGTCATCACAGATAGATTTTTATGCTGTGTTCTTTACAGGGAAAAATCTGGAGTTACAGTTGACCTAATATGGTGTTTTAAGGACTGACGATGATCTGACATCGATTTCTTTATGGATACCTTCTAACTTCGGAGATAAAAGGAAATAAATGCTGTTTCTTTAACCTTTGTAACTGGTGCGTGAGTTAGTGATTCAGATAACATTCAATCAGCAGTGTCACTGAAACATCCCTATCTGTAATCAAAACCTTTAAAACAAATTATTGAATGAAATATTCTGTTTTAGTTTAGGGGGATTTTTAGCTCTTGTTCAGCTAAATGCTACACAAACAAGAGGTCACCAAATTATTTAACTTACACAACACTCAGGAGGGAAATCTGTAAGTAGTGCAACTCCTTCAAGTCTGCAATATTTTTATTCCTGCTATTTGCTTTTCTGCACTAAAATCACAAATCAAACTGCATTAAAGACATGCAGGAGTAGTTCCTGTCCATCAAGTGTAGCACGCACACACACACACACACACACACACACACACACACACACACACACAACAATGATAATTTCTGTATTTTCACCTAGAAATGGAGTTAGTCTGTTTCTGTAAAAAGACCAGTCTCCATTTAGAGCATGTTTTCAGTGAGCAGTTTGTTAAGAAACTCTGGAACTGCTTGTGAACTGCAGAACATGCAAGTTGTTTACAAAAGCAAAGTTAAATGTGTGAGGCCAAAAAGTTGATATACCTCCTAATTTTCTGTTCAGCACACATCTATTATGCAACTCTGAAAATTATGATGTAATTGTTACAGATTTCAGGTATAAATGCTGATGTGGTAACTAAACTTGTGGTAGCAGAGTCAGTCTTTGCAGAAAAACAGCCTAATCAGAGTCCTTGTAATAAGAGCACATATTGACAAATCCGATCACACTGCTCTGTTCAGTCCACCTCAGCATTTCAGAAAATCCCCTTCCTCACTCCAGGAATTATCGTGCAGCACAAAGGCCAGTACTAGAAAGAAAAATAAAGAAACTCAGAAAAGTGCAGACTATTAACGATGAAATCTTTGTCAACGTAAACCTGCGTCTACCCTAAATATCATTCAAAAGCAATACTGCATTATGATTATGATTGCAGTTTTTTTGTCTAATCATCCATCTTTAAAAGGCTGACCTGCCAATTCTGATTTTAGGCAATACAGATTGGTGTTGTCTGAAAAGTTGCTAAACGTAGTGACAAAGTTGCTAATTTGTAAACAGTGGGGTGGCTACTGCTAACTGTGCACATGCAGACGTGACCTGCAGGGCGGTCAGTCCTGTGAGTAGAAGGAGACAAGGGCTGGTTTTCAGACCTTTGGTTTCAAATGCAAAGATCGGCCGATCATCGATTTCCCCAAATTAAGGAAATAGGTGCTCTGATAAATTAATCTTCATAAATTTCACTTCATATAAAAAACTATTATCATCGGTGTTATTTTTATGATTTTTGTCTACTGTTTGTATTTCAAGAGCATCAATAAATATTAATAAATTCGATAACATGATTAAACAGCTTAGTGATATATAAAAGAAACATTTTTTAATCACCATTGTTATCGTTATCACAACAGTACAACATCATAGTCCATATCATCCAGTCCTATGTATTATATTGCCATATCACCCTAATGTTGAAGATGACTAAAAAATTAGTTGTGCTTATTCATGAAAACCAATATTCCCCACAATGCATTGTTATGAATAAGGAAAGAGTGAGTGCTTCTTATGGGGATGTTAGGTGTTACAAAAGGAAGACAAAAGCAGATAAAATGTAGACAAACGAGCGATGTGATGTGAAATGAGCCAACATACATGAGGTGATGAGAGGGGTGGGGGGTCTGACGGTATGCTGAGCTGGGTCCACACACAGCGACTCACTTGGCCAGCTTCATCTCTATCTGCTGGCGGATTTCCTGTCGCTCTTGGTCGCTGCGAACCGGGAAGATGTTGCGGTCCTCCAGCTCCTGTTTGCTGGGCCTGTTCCGAAGCTTCACGGCCAGGAGCTCTTTCCTCATCCTGCGGGGGAGTGTTCCTGTTGAAGTTCAGAGCACACTTTGGGTAAGGGAATGGTAGTTTTTCAGCCGCCATCATGGCCAGATTTACAGGGAAGACAGGAGGTCAAAGCTGCCAAATACTAGCAGCAGTATTATGTAAAAATCTACTTTTATGAGCTTTACATAATTTTATAATGTTATTCCTTCTTCAAAAACGTACCTGGAGTGTTGCCTTGATTCTTTCATGCAACTTTGAGAAATACTTTAATCTCCATGGCAACCATTCATCTGTGCAGAACACCTGGGTGGACCTAGGTCTGCCTTTGAAGCACAGCTTCTCCTCTGAGCTGTAGTTTCTAACCCTCACAGAGCAGGCCTCCCCCCACTCCCCAACTCAGCTCCTTCAGACTAGCCAGCAGCAATTAGCAAACACCTGATGGATCTGTGCATAAGCTGAGCTCATTATAGGAGCTACTTCTCAGAGCAATGCTGGTAAAAACATTGTTAAAGGGTTAATAGAGGAGCCATGTTGTGATGACTTTCTGAAGGTGGAGTTTCAGAAAGAGACAAAGGCCCAATTTTAAGGCGTAAAATTACTTTTAAAGTAAAATTTCTTTTAAATCACTTTTGATATATACAGCAATTTTATAACAACTAAAGGTAACATAGATAATTGATTGTGCTATAAAATGACACTACGTGCCTGGAGAACACAAAATACTTACACTTTAAATAAAAATGTATAAAGTGCTAATGTCCAACAAAAAAACAGAGAAAGAAGAGATTAGGTTACCAGAAAAACAGTGAATGAAAAAACAAGTGCAGAACTGAAGGGGCTGTTGATTCTGAGAGAGTACAGACTGGACCAACTACCATTCTCACCACTGCTGTCATTAATTAGTTGCACTATGTTTTATAATTATGTCTTTGTAATCTTTGTATTTATTAAAAACTTGTCATTATGATATCATGTCATATATTTTCAATATATGTAATTGAATAAAACAGACATTTATTTGTGGAAAGCTGCCAAAATAATAATAATAATAATAATTGTTTTTAGTCCAACAAGTTTGTCTTTTGGCATGTTGTGTTTAGCTATCCAGCCCAAAGTGTATCCTTATTTTAGAGTTGTATAGTGACGAGCCTACAGATGTGATGCTGAGGTGGTAAGATGTAATGCTAAAATGTTTATTTTATGGGAAACTTCATATTGTCAACACTTGTGTTATGTACTACTGATACATGGCTGTATAATTACTCTGTAAAAATAATAAAAGTGTAAGTTCTAAAAAATAATAATTGTTTTTTTCCCCTAAATTCCATTCATTGAATATTTTTTCTCTAAGTTCATGTGTTACAAAGTAAAGTAGCATTTTATATGCTCAAAGAAAAACAGAAAAACATCCATATAAATATGAAGTTTCTGACAAAAAACAATCTACTGTTAAACTATTAATTTAAAATCATATCAAGAAGATAGATTACAGTGCTAATAGGAAACATACAGTAAGGTTCTTAGATGTGCATTTGTTTAAAAATGTCCATGTTATTAACGCTGAAGGTGCTGCTTCCCCTGTAAAGACACGGTCCCTTAGTACTTAAGGAAAACTTATGGAATTTGTTTTACAGGTTTCAAATTTTAACCACTAGATGTCAGTGGATCCAAAATGAACAGCTTTGAGAGCTTTGTAATAATGTAATAATCATCACCTCCTGCTTTACAGATGCATTTGTGAACAAACCACATGGTTCAACCAATAAGCCACATGATATTTAACCAGATATTAGCATGAGTGTTAGGAATAATATTTTGATATAAAATACTACCTGGGTAAAAGTAAGTTGTTTTCCCATGAGGATTTCATTAATTAGATGGAAAAGGTATATTAACTAGGGTAGTTTAAAGTAAGTGCTCCATAAGCCTAACAATTTGTTGGCCATTAAGAGTCTACTGTCAGAGAAGAGTCCAGAGGATTTTGAGAATACAAGTTTTTCATCGCAATTCTATTACTTTTATTTGATAAGGGTCCCTCATTCACATCTTAAAAGTCTATGGTTCTTGACTGGGTGAATATTAAACACCTCATTCTGATGTTTTAAGATGAAATAATTCAACTCCAGCAACTTCACCTAAAAAGATACAAAACCTCTAGAGGTGTGCTGATCGATCGGCCACTGATCATGATCAGTCAATTTCTGTGAAACAGTATGTAATCAGTGATCGCTGATCACCATCTCTTATTGCCGATCACAAAAACCGATCACCTGCATCTCATACTTTGCACTCTGTAGAGGTCCAGTTGCAGCGTCTCTCCCTCTTTCCTTCACACTGCACAAGCAAACAGCAGCAAATAAGTGATGTCGTGTGGAACTTCAACACTCTCAGAGTGAATGTGGAAGTTTACACATTGTAACAGAAAAATACCTCGGAGGCATACATATACAATTTGAAAAGTAAAATGTTAAATAAATTTAATTAATATTCATCCCAGATTGGCATCATTGCTTTTGTAGCCACTAGATATCTACATCCAATCAACCAAATGCTGGAACCGGACTTTTGTTACATCTGTGCTAATGTTGCAGCCCAACAGTTTAACAGTTTTTGCCCTAGTCACTGTTAGATGTCCAGGAATTAGGCCACCACAGCAGATGCTGATAGGCAGCTGGAAGTTCACGCTAGCAAGTGTGCCGTTCATCATCGCTTCTAATCTGCCTGTCATTCCCTGGCTGGAACGGCCATCAACAAAGATTAGATTGCTTAATCATCCTCTGGAATGACGCCTACATTTAGTTAGCTTTGTGCGCTACGCAACAGGGAGAAAGAAAAGAAAATATTAAGGCACAACTCTGGTGCCAGCACACCTACCAGAGATTACCGACTCATTCCAACTGTCCTGGTCGTTGGTGTACTGATCCAGGCGACAGTTCTCCTTGTTCTCGTCTGATCTCTTCTTGCCGTCCATCTCCCCAAGCGACTCCCTCTCCATGCTGGACGTCCGAGACAGCCGGCCATCTGCTCTGCGCTTCGGGGAACAGCGGGCTTCCTTCGTCTGGAAACTGGAATCACATGTCACAAGATGGATCTTTCATTGTCATCTTTGGTAAAGCAGCAAAGGAAAAAAAATGTTTTGATCGATGCAAAAACAATTAAAAACAAAAACAATTCAAATGCTGAATTAAAAATAAGCAGGAATGTTAAGCCTCATTCACGCTACACGATTTTAGAATTGTCGGCCGACTTTCAAATTCTGAGACCACACAAGAGCAGAAAATCGTAGGTAAAACAGGTTTGATCATGTTGTTATAAGGGGAAAATCAGGGCAAAAAATCATGCCGTGTGAACTGGGCTTTAACAGTTTGTGAGACAAACACAAACTGTTTTTTTAGGTTACTTATGTGAGACCAACCCAAAAACACTGTACAATGTTGAAGTCTACAAAAAGGGGTACATGGTTTTTTAAGTGTTTTAAATAACTGTTTTTCACTTCTGATTTTTTCAAATGTAATTAACACTGAGCTCTTGTGAAGAAGGAATGGGCAAAAACATCTCACGCTTTTATTTATTTTCTGAAAACCCCCCAGAAAACATTATTTTATAGGGAAATGTAAACCTGTAAACATCACAGAGACTTAACCCAAAAAGATCTGAAGATGTATTTGGCTCAGAAGGCGGTTATGCAAAGGTTTGACCCCGGGGGAATTGAACAAAAACACATGACACACTTTCCAGACTTTCATTCTTAAAAGTAACTGGAAAAACTCTGAATTGTTTCCTATCAATTATGACAATTACAATTATGACTATACTGAAGTTTGAGGCTATGAACCGACCAAATATGGGCAAAAAAGGTCAAGAGATATATTCACATCCGAAACCCTGTATCTAGAACATTTTCAGTCATTAAATGAAAAACTTTCCCAAAATCTCTTTGCATTTCAACACCAACATTAGGCTGACCTCTCCTGTCTGTGTTTGGTGGCCAGGGCACGATGCAGTTCCTCAATGATGCAGCTGGGGGGCAGTGGCTGGTGAAGGGCCCCAAGGTGCGGAGAGCCAGTGGGTGTAGAGATCCTGCCTCTCAGCAGGGATCCGTGAGGTTCTTTGGGGAGTGTGAAGTTCCTTGGTAATGTGGCGGGAGACTTTTTCACTGGAACTGGAGGAGCGCCTGAAGAAGCAAACAGTCAGACACTCTTACCAGAATGCATGTCTGTCTGTTCGTCAAGGTCAACTCACCATCTAAGCTGCCCAGCCTGGTGAGCAGCTTGACAGGAAGACTTGGCGGAGGAGGGGTGCTGGCTCGTCTCTGGGGCTTGGCTGCCACCATTTCCTGTTTCGCCTCAGCAGCCTCTGCTGTTTCCATCGTCTGCTCCTCGCTGGAGTTGCTTAGTGACACGTTCCCGTCTTCTGCGTCTTCGTCCTCGCCCTGACTGCTTTCTCCAGCCACCTTCGGATCTTCTTCCACATCTTGAACTGAAAAGGGAGCAAGGCCTGGTTTGTTTCTGAAGTCTCTGTCTCCACCTGGTGGACCATCTCCTCTCAGGAAACAAATTTTACTGCATACTTTTATTTTTTAGTTAAATATACTGAACACAAAAATCTCACTTCTGTTAACAGCAATTTATTTACAATCAATTAGATCAAGTTACTATTCCCTATTTGATGTCCAGCATTTCAATTTCAAATAAAAAAAATACTTTACTGATCCCAAAGAGAAATTAAATTACTACTCCAACATGCTGGCATAATGAGTGTCATAATTCTAGTATTCTCAAGTTCTTGTCATACTCCAGAGCCAGGCAGAGAATGTCTTCATGGAATATGTTACTTGGTGTCTTATATCACCAATTAGATTTGGCTACAGTGGTGTCCAGAAAGTTATGTTTCCATTGACCACATAATTGCGCAATTTGAATTTTCAAAAACCAATTTGCTAAATGGAAGCAAACTCCCGTTTCGGCGCTGGGTGGAGGTGGTTTTTTGGCCATACTGAAATTTTCCTATTGAACAAAACTGGAATGGAAACACATTACACAAGTCATGTGATCAACAACTGAATGATTCTGCAAAGGGAATTGAAAAAGACAATGACAGAAAGTGGTAGGAGGATGATGGTGCAGCATTTATTAATGTGTGATTTTAACTGTGTTTCTTTTTAAAGAAAAGGTAACACTTTATTTGAAGGGGGTTGAATAAGACTGACATGACACTGTCATAAACACCTGTCGTAAACATCAATAAGTCTTCATGAATATTTATGACTGTTGTCATAAAGCGTCATTCGGTAAATTGTGACACTTAATACAAAGTTGACATTATTCAAAATGTCTTTGTTATGACAACTTGACATTAACCAAAAAATAATTACTGGTATAAATTTGTTATAAAAGTATTACTGATTGCACTTTAAAAATGAGGTAACTTTATGTTATTAAAGGTAAAGTTTAAACAGTAATGATTTCTTGGTTAATGTCAAGTTGTCATACAACGGCATTTTGAATAATGTCAACTTTGTATTAAAAGTGTCAATTTACCGAATGACACTTTATGACAACAGTCATAAATATTCATGAAGGCTTATTGATGTTCATGACAGGTGTTATGACATGTTTATGACAGTGTCATGACAGTCTTATTCACCCCCCTTCAAATAAAGTGTTACCAAAGAAAACACTACAATTGCAAAATTGTGCTATACCAACAAAGTTGTGCTCATATTTGTAATGGAGATGCATTTCAGTCTTGTGTGGGACATAGCAACTGAGAAATGGCTTCTCATCTTTAAGACCTTTTTGAAAGTCAAATATTGGAACAAACTTTAAAGTTACTCTATAATTTCATTTGTTGATTCCAAACTGAGAAGGAAAGCAGTGATAAAGCTCAGACAAGAATAATAGGCCAACACACTGGTATGGTACCTCAACCCTAAATACTTAAACATAATCATTTTCTTCTTCAATTTTGGACTACCACCTGTAGGTCTATTGTATACAATCGCAATACAATCCATTAAAGTTTACGGCTAAAAAAGGGTCCATGATGAATCTATACTCTGATTTTCCCTCTTGTTTAAATGTAAATATTGATTCCTGCAGCTTTGCCAATAAACACTGTAAGGTTTTCAAGAGAAATAACTTCTGACAAAGTCATCTTTGTGCCCTCTGTGACAGCTGCTGGTTTCTACCTGCTGGGGCTTCTGAATCACTTCCCAGGTCCTCACTGGCACTGGCCAGGGGGGCCATGAGTTCCTCGTCTCTGTCCTCGCCGTCTGACTGGGCTGGGGTGTCAGGATCCTCGCCATTCCCCCCACAAGCGAGATCTGACTCTGCATACAAGCCACAAAAAGGACAACATTGAGTCTGTTTAGCAGTTGGGCATCATGTGGCTGAGCAAGTAGACTGTGATAAGCCTAGAACTGTTTGTGTGCATGCTTGGTGAAGGGGAGGGGGGGAGGTTAATCTCTGGTTTTGCACCTGTTTCCATCTCCCCAGGGCTTCGCTTGACGAGCTCATCTCTCTTCTGCCGTACAGCTGCCTTCTTCTCAGCCACTGAACAACACAAACATTCATGAAAACTGGCCCAAAGCACGTCTGGCAAAAAATGAGAAACCTTGAGCAAGAACATGCTGCATTCTTCCCCATCCTCCAGTTGATACCTCAAAACGCAGGAGGAAACCAGAGTCTGTCTCACCACTCACCTCCAGGGGGCCTCGGCTTCTCACTTTTCTTTTTCCTCCACTTCCATGGCTTGAAGATGCGTCCCAGGCTCGCCAGCTTGCTGTTGCGTCTGACGGGAGGCGTGCGGATTCCTGAGACCAGGCCACCGGAGTGCAGCGCCCTCTGCTGGTCCATTACATCTACAACAGAAAACAACTATCTTAAAACAAGATGCAGACAAAACAATCAAGGGCTTCTCAAACCCCTCACAGCTTCTTTAACCTCTCCTAACACAATTGGTCGAGTACTACGGCCATCATGCGACAGAGGAAAAAGTGGGTCGGTGGCTCTGAATGCTTTATCCAGCCTAATTCCTGAGAGGAAGACAGAATCGCATTGTCCGCGCGTGACTCACATGGTTTCAGGGCAGAGAGGACCTTCCCGGGCCAGAGATCCACTCACAATGGAATGCTTTGGAAAACGACATGGGAATAAATAAAATCAGCTTCAGCACAACTGCCTTCTCTCAGGATCAGTGTAGACATCTGCAGCTGGCACTTCTCAGAGATTTGACTATTCTGGGAAGTGAATGTGGCTGTAGAATGTCTGTATCTGCCCCAATATTGAAATAAATTCTAGATTGGGTATTGGTGACAGTTTGCCCCATCAATAAAGGTGGATCTATTCAATTAAATTCTATGCTCTGTGGTCTGAGCGATGTCATGCATTATTTATTTATTTTACATTATATTGATATTTATATTTATTCTTAATTGCACTTTAAAGAAGGCTTGTTGCAGCTTGTGTTTTGAACAAGGTAGTCACCCCATTGTTTTTATCAGTTTCAGTTTCTTTATTATTTATTTTATATTGGTTGTTATATTTGTAATTACACTGACACTTTTTACATGTTTGACCAGGCTTGTGAAGCTATTGGTGTATTAAAGTGTGACGTACTGGTGCAGAGTTATTAAATAAATCTGTAATTCATTACATTTATATCTGTGTTTAAAACAAAAGTCAATTCTGCAGTGTTAAACCTCAGATATCTATATCAGTATTGAAAGTGAAAAAAGTGGATCATGCATCACTAGACTTGACAGAATCTTGTGTTTATTGGAGCTGTCCATCATTGTTGCAATAACAATAATAATAATTATAAAAGTTAATGAAATACATACAATTTATTTAAGTGGTGTGTTTCCTGAATTTCCTGAATTTTGGGTGAAAGACGATCGGCCAATACCTACACTTACCTACTTTCACAAAGGTCTGAAAATCATATTTGTAAAAAAAAAAAAAAAAAAGGAAGAAAATTTGTGTTCTATCTGCCATAATTAGAATCGGCAGGTCAGACTTTTTATAGATTGGTGATAAAAACTATAGTAACAAACCAGGAAATTCAAGTAAATGCAAAAGCGAGTAATCATTTATTGTTGAAGGATGTCACAGTGTTACCACAATGCCAAGAAGTAAAGACATCAGCAATGATTTTACAGTAACTGCTGATGCTAATCAATCAGGCTATTGATATAAAGTCACTTCCAATTGATCTGAAGAGGTCAGACTGTAAAATGCAGAGATAAATTATGTCTGTTTGTCTTTCTTTCTTGGTTATTTGCACAGGAACAGGCAGTAATCTTAAATAAGAAACACTAGAACATTTATAGCCTCAGCTCATTTGCAACACACATCCCAAGAAGGACTTTTAACAACATAAAACAGTTTAAAGGCAAACGGGAGACGCTGAGTCTGGGTGGTTCAGTTGGTAGACTACGAGCGGAGGCTGAAGTCCTCAAAATGGTTGTCCTGGGTTCAATTGCTGAGGCAATTTGCCCTCTCTCTCCACCCCGTTTCCTGGCAATTTACTGTCCAGTGAAGGCTAGTAGTGCCAAAAAATCTTTTAACAAAGACAGTAAAACAGCCCGGCAAGATAAAATATTATATACAACACGAACCTTAAAATGACCTTAAAATAGAGCATAATGAAACAAGCGGCATCATAAAACCATTGTGGGCTGCTGTTAATCATGACTACAGGACTGGTCTTCTGAGAGAAACTGCATCATCTTCATGTGAACAAGGCACCACGTCTGCAATCAGTTTCAAGTCCTGATATTAAGAATTCCACAAATTAATGTCGCAGAGAGAAAAAGCCGTTTGACCAAAAGAGGTTACTAGACCTACAGATCTGACAGGAGCAAGGCCGAATATTTATGATTTGTATACTAAACAAAGCTTAATAAAAGTTTAAAAAAGGTGTCAAAGTTCATCATATTTAGATTTGTGGGAACATGATGATGATGAAATTTGACAAATTTTCTGTCCAAAACTTTAATTTCTTGGTAATAGATCATTCTCACAGGCCTCCTGGTTGTTGATATTGCTTGAAACCAGGAACTCAAGTGGGAGAGATTCAATCCGACACAAATAATGAACGACTACTCAAGACAGCAGCAAGGCTAGGCATCATGCTGTTGTAAAACCAAAAACAACTAAGGGAAACAACAGGAATATCTCTGAAGAAGACACTGACAAAAAGGAGTGATGTCAGATTTTAGCGGTTGCAGTATTTCTCTTTTGTCTTTGGTTAAAGACCATGAGCCTGCTTTTGGATCAGTTTCCTGTCTGCTTGTATTCACATAAGCATTCAAATTAGGGATTGAAGTTATTGACTAATTAGTTAATCAAAAGTTGATTGGTCTTATCAATTGACAAACAATTAATTGATAACCTGCCACTTTCTTAAAAACCGGAGTCCTCTTTTGTATCAAGAGGGCCGACCATCTTTTCATAACAAGAGTTAAATTTTTCATATACTGAATTTTAAAAAGAAGCACGTCATTGTGGTAGAAGATTTTTGTGTTACCTGTGTAAATACTGACTGAATAAAATGAAATTTGTGATTTTCTCACATTATTACACCCACAAAACCTTCAAAATTAACAGTGCTTATTGACACCATGTCATTTTCCATAATGTTACAATTTTTCTGAGTTATGCCCTCCACTATTCTGTCTTCGTCACATCCTCGCCTTCAAATCAACTCAGTAATATTTTATTGAGAAGTTGACGCTGCTCTGCCATGCGGCACATCTATTAAGATGAAACCTAAGGAGTTAGTCGAGTGTTAATGTTTCTAAACAGAATTGCAAAAAGTGTATTTTGCATCCCACACCAGACTTGGACTGATTCTCTTTCCCATTCTGAGATAGTTCTGCCTGTATCAAATGGTTTTGGACGACCAGTGCCATCCTGTGCTGGATGGCAGCCAAACTACTACACTAAAAGAGACATTTATCCATTGGATCTAATTTTAATCTAATAAATCATTCATCGACAATTAATCTTAAGACGACTAATGGTTTGCATCCCTAATTTCAACCACACCAGAGTTCACTGCAGCTGACCTGGGTTTAATTCTTTTAGGTGGACCAGAGTTCACTTTTTTGGTCTTTGGCTTTTTTGAAGTGCATTCCACCAGCCCTGTTAAGCCTGCTTTAATCAAACTCTCTTTAATCAAGCTCATTTGTCTAGAAAGTCTGCTTTGTTGGGGGAGATGTGAACGCTTAATCAGATGCAAACCAAAACAGTGAACTCTAGTCCGCCTAAAAACCTGGGTCTGGATTCGATTAAAGTGAACTCTGGCATGGTTTGAATGCATATGAACGCCAAGCAGACCAAAGATGCTCCAGAAGCAGAAAACATACTACAGCGCCAGGCATTCTGGGTCAACACAACCAAAACAAATGTGTCCTAAATCCTACAGCCACTAAAATATGATACTATTGCATTACTATATACATTTTGAGAAAGAGGAAGCTGCACTCTGTGTCTCCTTCAGACACCTCACAGGTTACTCAAAGGGTTTGGTTCATCTGACACAGTGCAATGTGAAAAAGAACCACCCACAGCAGCTGAAAATGTAACAAATGTTGCAAGTTTGGTCCCAATCAAACCGGGACAACTGGACTATCAAGTGTGACAGCTAAAGAACAGAACAGCGATACCAAACACACTAGCAAATCTACATTACAACAGTGGAAAAAGACACTCCAAAGATTTTTTGAAACCCAATAAAAAAGTGTTCAAATCAAGCAACTGCTGGATTTACTTGTCTTCAACACCCAACACTTAACATGCAAGCAGCAGCGAAATGAACATCTTCCACTTATTTCTGTTGGGTAACCCAAATAGCTAAAGATTTCCTCCATGTTGATTGACAAACTGCTTTAAGGATGCTTTGATCTCATGCCACAGACAGAGCAAATCAGCTGCTTCCCTTCTTAGTGGGACGCCCTGACACATCCAAGTCGGCGGGATAAGCAGCAGAAGAGGCATCCTGATGACAGACAGGCAGGCAGAATCCACAGAGGCTAACTGAGCTGACTTCTGTTATGCTTCAGCAAGAGGAGGAGGATGGCTTGGAGAAAGGACAGAAATAGGAACTCCTACACAGTCTGGCTCCGACAACGAGCTGACAGCTCAGGGAGCCTGCAGCTGAGTCGTGGGCAGCCAGCGAGCAGTTCCATGAGCAGAGCCACCTTTAGCTTCTATCGGCAGCGTCTTCATCCACAACATCTTTTTTTCTCATCCCTTAAACCATGATTTATATTCACTGCAACTCAAACTGCAAACTGGTGGAAAAACTAAAATGGAATATGTTGTGATTCATCGTGAAGAATTCACGTATTTGGTGAATATATGCACCCTTAGTGAAAAAAATGCATTAATAAAATAAAATAATTTAGATTTTACTGTATTATATCAAAAGCATGTTTTTTAAATCCACCCTTTAATTAGAGGACACTGGGTCAAGAGGAAAAAAATCCTACATTGAGAAATACACAAAAAGAGAAAATCATTAAGAGCACAATTATTGATATGAAAGGTGGATTGATGGGTCATTAAGTCTCCATGACAACCCTTACCAACATATCAACCAATTTGTTTGAGAGAAAAAAAAAAAACATTTTCTGTCCTGCCATTACAAGCGTACAAACTCTGGAGTTTGCAAGGACTTCTCTTTGGTCAAATAAGAGTAAGACAAGGCTTTTCAGCAACAGATACTCCAGAACTGCATGGCATGAAACACAGGACAACTCATGCCCACTCTAACGTATAGCGGAGGATCTGTTATACTGTGGACCTGTTTCTGCTCTAAAGAGCCTGGGAACTAGAGCTGCTTCGTTCACACGAC